CAGGCCAGTTGGTCAAACCGGTCCATAGGACCCAAGGCCAGTTGGTCCAACGGTCCATAGGACGACAGGCCAGTTGGTCCAACCGGTCCATAGGACCAACAGGCCAGTTGGTCCAACCGGTCCATAGGCCAACAGGCCAGTTGGTCCAAACCGGTCCATAGGACCAACAGGCCAGTTGGTCCAACCGATCCATAGGACCAACAGGCCAGTTGGTCCAACCGGTCCATAGGACCAACAGGCCAGTTGGTCCAACCGGTCCATGCCAGGACCAACAGGCCAGTTGGTCCAACCGGTCCATAGGACCAACAGGCCAGTTGGTCCAACCGGTCCATAGGACCAACAGGCCAGTTGGTCCAACCGGTCCATAGGACCAACAGGCCAGTTGGTCCAACCGGTCCATAGGACCAACAGGCCAGTTGGTCCAACCGGTCCATAGGACCAACAGGCCAGTTGGTCCAACCGGTCCATAGGACCAACAGGCCAGTTGGTCCAACGGTCCATAGGACCAACAGGCCAGTTGGTCCAACCGGTCCATAGGACCAACAGGCCAGTTGGTCCAACCGGTCCATAGGACCACAGGCCAGTTGGTCCAACCGGTCCATAGGACCAACAGGCCAGTTGGTCCAACCGGTCCATAGGACCAACAGGCCAGTTGGTCCAACCGGTCCATAGGACCAACAGGCCAGTTGGTCCAACGAGGTCCATAGGACCAACATGCCAGTTGGTCCAACCGGTCCATAGGACCAACAGGCCAGTTGGTCCAACCGGTCCATAGGACCAACAGGCCAGTGGTCCAACCGGTCCATAGGACCAACAGGCCAGTTGGTCCAACCGGTCCATAGGACCAACAGGCCAGTTGGTCCAACCGGTCCATAGGACCAACAGGCCAGTTGGTCCAACGGTCCATAGGACCAACAGGCCAGTTGGTCCAACCGGTCCATAGGACCAACAGGCCAGTTGGTCCAACCGGTCCATAGGACCAACAGGCCAGTTGGTCCAACCGGTCCATAGGACCAACAGGCCAGTTGGTCCAACCGGTCCATAGGACCAACAGGCCAGTTGGTCCAATCCGGTCCATAGGACCAACAGGCCAGTTGGTCCAACCGGTCCATAGGACCAACAGGCCAGTTGGTCCAACCGGTCCATAGGACCAACAGGCCAGTTGGTCCAACCGGTCCATAGGACCAACAGGCCAGTTGGTCCAACCGGTCCATAGGACCAACAGGCCCAGTTGGTCCAACCGGTCCATAGGACCAACAGGCCAGTTGGTCCAACCGGTCCATAGGACCAACAGGCCAGTGGTCCAACCGGTCCATTAGGACAAACAGGCCAGTTGGTCCAACCGGTCCATAGGACCAACAGGCCAGGTTGGTCCAACCGGTCCATAGCCCAACAGGCCAGTTGGTCCAACCGGTCCATAGGACCAACAGGCCAGTTGGTCCAACCGGTCCATAGGACCAACAGGCCAGTTGGTCCAACCGGTCCATAGGACCAACAGGCCAGTTGGTCCAAACCGGTCCATAGGACCAACAGGCCAGTTGGTCCAACCGGTCCATAGGACCAATAGGCCAGTTGGTCCAACCGGTCCATAGGACCAACAGGCCAGTTGGTCCAACCGGTCCATAGGACCACAGGCCAGTTGGTCCAACCGGTCCATAGGACCAACAGGCCAGTTGGTCCAACCGGTCCATAGGACCAACAGGCCAGTTGGTCCAACCGGTCCATAGGCCAACAGGCCAGTTGGTCCAACCGGTCCATAGGACCAACAGGCCAGTTGGTCCAACCGGTCCATAGGACCAACAGGCCAGTTGGTCCAACCGGTCCATAGGACCAACAGGCCAGTTGGTCCAACCGGTCCATAGGACCAACAGGCCAGTTGGTCCAACCGGTCCATGGACCAACAGGCCAGTTGGTCCAACCGGTCCATAGGACCAACAGGCCAGTGGTCCAACCGGTCCATAGGACCAACAGGCCAGTTGGTCCAACCGGTCCATAGGACCAACAGGCCAGTTGTCCAACCGGTCCATAGGACCAACAGGCCAGTTGGTCCAACCGGTCCATAGGACCAACAGGCCAGTTGGTCCAACCGGTCCATAGGACCAACAGGCCAGTTGGTCCAACCGGTCCATAGGACCAACAGGCCAGTTGGTCCAACCGGTCCATAGGACCAACAGGCCAGTTGGTCCAACCGGTCCATAGGACCAACAGGCCAGTTGGTCCAACCGGTCCATAGGACCAACAGCCAGTTGGTCCAACCGGTCCATAGGACCAACAGGCCAGTTGGTCCAACCGGTCCATAGGACCAACAGGCCAGTTGGTCCAACCGGTCCATAGGACCAACAGGCCAGTTGGTCCAACCGGTCCATAGGACCAACAGGCCAGTTGGTCCAACCGGTCCATAGGACCAACAGGCCAGTTGGTCCAACCGGTCCATAGGACCAACAGGCCAGTTGGTCCAACCGGTCCATAGGACCAACAGGCCAGTTGGTCCAACCGGTCCATAGGACCAACAGGCCAGTGGTCCAACCGGTCCATAGGACCAACAGGCCAGTTGGTCCAACGGTCCATAGGACCAACAGGCCAGTTGGTCCAACCGGTCCATAGGACCAACAGGCCAGTTGGTCCAACCGGTCCATAGGACCAACAGGCCAGTTGGTCCAACCGGTCCATAGGACCAACAGGCCAGTTGGTCCAAACCGGTCCATAGGACCAACAGGCCAGTTGGTCCAACCGGTCCATAGGACCAACAGGCCAGTTGGTCCAACCGGTCCATAGGACCAACAGGCCAGTTGGTCCAACCGGTCCATAGGACCAACAGGCCAGTTGGTCCAACCGGTCCATAGGACCAACAGGCCAGTTGGTCCAACCGGTCCATAGGACCAACAGGCCAGTTGGTCCAAACCGGTCCATAGGACCAACAGGCCAGTTGGTCCAACCGGTCCATAGGACCAACAGGCCAGTTGGTCCAACCGGTCCATAGGACCAACAGGCAGTTGGTCCAACCGGTCCATAGGACCAACAGGCCAGTTGGTCCAACCGGTCCATAGGACCAACAGGCCAGTTGGTCCAACCGGTCCATAGGACCAACAGGCCAGTTGGTCCAACCGGTCCATAGGACCAACAGGCCAGTTGGTCCAACCGGTCCATAGGACCAACAGGCCAGTTGGTCCAACCGGTCCATAGGACCAACAGGCCAGTTGGTCCAACCGGTCCATAGGACCAACAGGCCAGTTGGTCCAACCGGTCCATAGGACCAACAGGCCAGTTGGTCCAACCGGTCCATAGGACCAACAGGCCAGTTGGTCCAACCGGTCCATAGGCCAACAGGCCAGTTGGTCCAACCGGTCCATAGGACCAACAGGCCAGTTGGTCCAACCGGTCCATAGGACCAACAGGCCAGTTGGTCCAACCGGTCCATAGGACCAACAGGCCAGTTGGTCCAACCGGTCCATAGGACCAACAGGCCAGTTGGTCCAACCGGTCCATAGGACCAACAGGCCAGTTGGTCCAACCGGTCCATAGGACCAACAGGCCAGTTGGTCCAACCGGTCCATAGGACCAACAGGCAGTTGGTCCAACGGTCCATAGGACCAACAGGCCAGTTGGTCCAACCGGTCCATAGGACCAACAGGCCAGTTGGTCAACCGGTCCATAGGACCAACAGGCCAGTTGGTCCAACCGGTCCATAGGACCAACAGGCCAGTTGGTCCAACCGGTCCATAGGACCAACAGGCCAGTTGGTCCAACCGGTCCATAGGACCAACAGGCCAGTTGGTCAAACCGGTCCATAGGACCAACAGGCCAGTTGGTCCAACCGGTCCATAGGACCAACAGGCCAGTTGGTCCAACCGGTCCATGGACCAACAGGCCAGTTGGTCCAACCGGTCCATAGGACCAACAGGCCAGTTGGTCCAACCGGTCCATAGGACCAACAGGCCAGTTGGTCCAACCGGTCCATAGGACCAACAGGCCAGTTGGTCCAACCTACCCAGGTCCATAGGACCACCATGGCCAGTTGGTCCAACCGGTCCATAGGACCAACAGGCCAGTTGGTCCAACCGGTCCATTGGACCAACAGGCCAGTTGGTCCAACCGGTCCATAGGACCAACAGGCCAGTTGGTCCAACCGGTCCATAGGACCAACAGGCCAGTTGGTCCAACCGGTCCATAGGACCAACAGGCCAGTTGGTCCAACCGGTCCATAGGACCAACAGGCCAGTTGGTCCAACCGGTCCATAGGACCAACAGGCCAGTTGGTCCAAACGGTCCATAGGACCAACAGGCCAGTTGGTCCAACCGGTCCATAGGACCAACAGGCCAGTTGGTCCAACCGGTCCATAGGACCAACAGGCCAGTTGGTCCAACCGGTCCATAGGACCAACAGGCCAGTTGGTCCAACCGGTCCATAGGACCAACAGGCCAGTTGGTCCAACCGGTCCATTAGGACCAACAGGCCAGTTGGTCCAACCGGTCCATAGGACCAACAGGCCAGTTGGTCCAACCGGTCCATAGGACCAACAGGCCAGTTGGTCCAACCGGTCCATAGGACCAACAGGCCAGTTGGTCCAACCGGTCCATAGGACCAACAGGCCAGTTGGTCCAACCGGTCCATAGGACCAACAGGCCAGTTGGTCCAACCGGTCCATAGGACCAACAGGCCAGTTGGTCCAACCGGTCCATAGGACCAACAGGCCAGTTGGTCCAACCGGTCCATAGGACCAACAGGCCAGTTGGTCCAACCGGTCCATTAGGACAACAGGCCAGTTGGTCCAACCGGTCCATAGGACCAACAGGCCAGTTGGTCCAACCGGTCCATTCAGGACCAACAGGCCAGTTGGTCCAACCGGTCCATAGGACCAACAGGCCAGTTGGTCCAACCGGTCCATAGGACCAACAGGCCAGTTGGTCCAACCGGTCCATAGGACCAACAGGCCAGTTGGTCCAACCGGTCCATAGGACAACAGAGCCAGTTGGTCCAACCGGTCCATAGGACCAACAGGCCAGTTGGTCCAACCGGTCCATTGGACCAACCCCCCGGTCCATCCCAACAGGCCAGTTGGTCCAACCGGTCCATAGGACCAACAGGCCAGTTGGTCCAACCGGTCCATTCGGCCAACAGGCCAGTTGGTCCAACCGGTCCATAGGACCAACAGGCCAGTTGGTCCAACCGGTCCATAGGACCAACAGGCCAGTTGGTCCAACCGGTCCATAGGACCAACAGGCCAGTTGGTCCAACCGGTCCATAGGACCAACAGGCCAGTTGGTCCAACCGGTCCATAGGACCAACAGGCCAGTTGGTCCAAACCGGTCCATAGGACCAACAGGCCAGTTGGTCCAACCGGTCCATAGGACCAACAGGCCAGTTGGTCCAACCGGTCCATAGGACCAACAGGCCAGTTGGTCCAACCGGTCCATAGGACCAACAGGCCAGTTGGTCCAACCGGTCCATAGGACCAACAGGCCAGTTGGTCCAACCGGTCCATAGGACCAACAGGCCAGTTGGTCCAACCGGTCCATAGGACCAACAGGCCAGTTGGTCCAACCGGTCCACAGGACCAACAGGCCAGTTGGTCCAACCGGTCCATAGGACCAACAGGCCAGTTGGTCCAACGGTCCATAGGACCAACAGGCCAGTTGGTCCAACCGGTCCAAAGGACCAACAGGCCAGTTGGTCCAACCGGGTCCATAGGACCAACAGGCCAGTTGGTCCAACCGGTCCACAGGACCAACAGGCCAGTTGGTCCAACCGGTCACAGGAGACCAACAGGCCAGTTGGTCCAACCGGTCCACAGGACCAACAGGCCAGTTGGTCCAACCGGTCCATAGGACCAACAGGCCAGTTGGTCCAACCGGTCCATAGGACCAACAGGCCAGTTGGTCCAACCGGTCCATAGGACCAACAGGCCAGTTGTCCAACCGGTCCATAGGCCAACAGGCCAGTTGGTCCAACGGTCCATAGGACCAACAGGCCAGTTGGTCCAAACGGTCCATTCGGCCAACAGGCCAGTTGGTCCAACCGGTCCATAGGACCAACAGGCCAGTTGGTCCAACCGGTCCATAGGACCAACAGGCCAGTTGGTCCAACCGGTCCATAGGACCAACAGGCCAGTTGGTCCAACCGGTCCATAGGACCAACAGGCCAGTTGGTCCAACCGGTCCATAGGACCAACAGGCCAGTTATGGTCCAACCGGCAGTTGCCAAACTGGCCATCCGGGCCGCAACCCAGTTGTCCAACCGGTCCATAGGACCAACAGGCCAGTTGGTCCAACCGGTCCATAGGACCAACAGGCCAGTTGGTCCAACCGGTCCATAGGACCAACAGGCCAGTTGGTCCAAAACGGTCCATAGGACCAACAGGCCAGTTGGTCCAACCGGTCCATAGGACCAACAGGCCAGTTGGTCCAACCGGTCCATAGGACCAACAGGCCAGTTGGTCCAACCGGTCCATTCGGCCAACAGGCCAGTTGGTCCAACCGGTCCATAGGACCAACAGGCCAGTTGGTCCAACCGGTCCATAGGACCAACAGGCCAGTTGGTCCAACCGGTCCATAGGACCAACAGGCCAGTTGGTCCAACCGGTCCATAGGACCAACAGGCCAGTTGGTCCAACCGGTCCAAGGACCAACAGGCCAGTTGGTCCAACCGGTCCATAGGACCAACAGGCCAGTTGGTCCAACCGGTCCATAGGACCAACAGGCCAGTTGGTCCAACCGGTCCATAGGACCAACAGGCCAGTTGGTCCAACCGGTCCATGGACCAACAGGCCAGTTGGTCCAACCGGTCCATAGGACCAACAGGCCAGTTGGTCCAACCGGTCCATAGGACCAACAGGCCAGTTGGTCCAACCGGTCCATAGGACCAACAGGCCAGTTGGTCCAACCGGTCCCACAGGACCAACAGGCCAGGTTCCAAACCGGTCCATTAGTAACCAACAGGCCAGTTGGTCCAACCGGTCCATAGGACCAACAGGCCAGTTGGTCCAACCGGTCCATAGGACCAACAGGCCAGTTGGTCCAACCGGTCCATAGGCCAACAGGCCAGTTGGTCCAACCGGTCCATAGGACCAACAGGCCAGTTGGTCCAACCGGTCCACATAGGACCAACAGGCCAGTTGGTCCAACCGGTCCATAGGACCAACAGGCCAGTTGGTCCAACCGGTCCATAGGACCAACAGGCCAGTTGGTCCAACCGGTCCATAGGACCAACAGGCCAGTTGGTCCAACCGGTCCATAGGACCAACAGGCCAGTTGGTCCAACCGGTCCATAGGGCCAACAGGCCAGTTGGTCCAACCGGTCCATAGGACCAACAGGCCAGTTGGTCCAACCGGTCCATAGGACCAACAGGCCAGTTGGTCCAACCGGTCCATAGGACCAACAGGCCAGTTGGTCCAACCGGTCCATAGGACCAACAGGCCAGTTGGTCCAACCGGTCCATAGGACCAACAGGCCAGTTGGTCCAACCGGTCCATAGGACCAACAGGCCAGTTGGTCCAACGGTCCATAGGACCAACAGGCCAGTTGGTCCAACCGGTCCACAGGACCAACAGGCCAGTTGGTCCAACCGGTCCACAGGACCAACAGGCCAGTTGGTCCAACCGGTCCATAGGACCAACAGGCCAGTTGGTCCAACCGGTCCATAGGACCAACAGGCCAGTTGGTCCAACCGGTCCATAGGACCAACAGGCCAGTTGGTCCAACCGGTCCATAGGACCAACAGGCCAGTTGGTCCTTCGTCCAAACCGGTCCAGTTGGTTTCGGTCCACAGGGAAAGTTGGTTTTCCAACCGGTCCATAGGACCAACAGGCCAGTTGGTCCAACCGTCCATAGGACCAAAAGGCAGTTGGTCCAACCGGTCCATAGGACCAACAGGCCAGTTGGTCCAACCGGTCCATAGGACCAACAGGCCAGTTGGTCCAACCGGTCCATAGGACCAACAGGCCAGTTGGTCCAACCGGTCCATAGGACCAACAGGCCAGTTGGTCCAACCGGTCCATAGGACCAACAGGCCAGTTGGTCCAACCGGTCCATAGGACCAACAGGCCAGTTGGTCCAACCGGTCCATAGGACCAACAGGCCAGTTGGTCCAACCGGTCCATAGGACCAACAGGCCAGTTGGTCCAACCGGTCCATAGGACCAACAGGCCAGTTGGTCCAACCGTCCATTGGACCAACAGGCCAGTTGGTCAAACCGGTCCATAGGACCAACAGGCCAGTTGGTCCAACCGGTCCATTAGGACCAACAGGCCAGTTGGTCCAACCGGTCCATCGGCAACAGGCCAGTTGGTCCAACCGGTCCATAGGACCAACAGGCCAGTTGGTCCAACCGGTCCATAGGACCAACAGGCCAGTTGGTCCAACCGGTCCATAGGACCAACAGGCCAGTTGGTCCAACCGGTCACAGGACAACAGGCCAGTTGGTCCAACCGGTCCATAGGACCAACAGGCCAGTTGGTCCAACCGGTCCATAGGACCAACAGGCCAGTTGGTCCAACCGGTCCATAGGACCAACAGGCCAGTTGGTCCAACCGGTCCATTCGGCCAACAGGCCAGTTGGTCCAACCGGTCCATAGGACCAACAGGCCAGTTGGTCCAACCGGTCCATAGGACCAACAGGCCAGTTGGTCCAACCGGTCCATAGGACCAACAGGCCAGTTGGTCCAACCGGTCCATAGGACCAACAGGCCAGTTGGTCCAACCGGTCCATAGGACCAACAGGCCAGTTGGTCCAACCGGTCCATAGGACCAACAGGCCAGTTGGTCCAACCGGTCCATAGGACCAACAGGCCAGTTGGTCCAACCGGTCCACAGGACCAACAGGCCAGTGGTCCAACCGGTCCATAGGACCAACAGGCCAGTTGGTCCAACCGGTCCATAGGACCAACAGGCCAGTTGGTCCAACCGGTCCATAGGACCAACAGGCCAGTTGGTCCAACCGTCCATAGGACCAACAGGCCAGTTGGTCCAACCGGTCCATAGGACCAACAGGCCAGTTGGTCCAACCGGTCCATAGGACCAACAGGCCAGTTGGTCCAACCGGTCCATAGGACCAACAGGCCAGTTGGTCCAACCGGTCCATAGGACCAACAGGCCAGTTGGTCCAACGGTCCATAGGACCAACAGGCCAGTTGGTCCAACCGGTCCACAGGACCAACAGGCCAGTTGGTCCAACCGGTCCATAGGACCAACAGGCCAGTTGGTCCAACCGGTCCATCCATAGGACCGACAGGCCAGTTGGTCCAACCGGTCCACAGGACCAACAGGCCAGTTGGTCCAACCGGTCCATAGGACCAACAGGCCAGTGTTGGTCCAACCGGTCCATAGGACCAACAGGCCAGTTGGTCCAACCGGTCCATAGGACCAACAGGCCAGTTGGTCCAACCGGTCCATAGGACCAACAGGCCAGTTGGTCCAACCGGTCCATAGGACCAACAGGCCAGTTGGTCCAACCGGTCCATAGGACCAACAGGCCAGTTGGTCCAACCGGTCCATAGGACCAACAGGCCAGTTGGTCCAACCGGTCCATAGGACCAACAGGCCAGTTGGTCCAACCGGTCCATAGGCCAACAGGCCAGTTGGTCCAACCGGTCCATAGGACCCACATGCCAGTTGGTCCAACCGGTCCATAGGACCAACAGGCCAGTTGGTCCAACCGGTCCATAGGACCAACAGGCCAGTTGGTCCAAACGGTCCATAGGCCAACAGGCCAGTTGGTCCAACCGGTCCATAGGACCAACAGGCCAGTTGGTCCAACCGGTCCATAGGACCAACAGGCCAGTTGGTCCAACCGGTCCATAGGACCAACAGGCCAGTTGGTCCAACCGGTCCATAGGACCAACAGGCCAGTTGGTCCAACCGGTCCATAGGACCAACAGGCCAGTTGGTCCAACCGGTCCATAGGACCAACAGGCCAGTTGGTCCAACCGGTCCATAGGACCAACAGGCCAGTTGGTCCAACCGGTCCATAGGACCAACAGGCCAGTTGGTCCAACCGGTCCATAGGACCAACAGGCCAGTTGGTCCAACCGGTCCATAGGACCAACAGGCCAGTTGGTCCAACCCGGTCCATAGGACCAACAGGCCAGTTGGTCCAACCGGTCCATAGGACAACAGGCCAGTTGGTCCAACCGGTCCATAGGACCAACAGGCCAGTTGGTCCAACCGGTCCATAGGACCAACAGGCAGTTGGTCCAACCGGTCCATAGGACCAACAGGCCAGTTGGTCCAACCGGTCCATAGGACCAACAGGCCAGTTGGTCCAACCGGTCCATAGGACCAACAGGCCAGTTGGTCCAACCGGTCCATAGGACCCAACAGGCCAGTTGGTCCAACCGGTCCATAGGACCAACAGGCCAGTTGGTCCAACCGGTCCATAGGACCAACAGGCCAGTTGGTCCAACCGGTCCATAGGACCAACAGGCCAGTTGGTCCAACCGGTCCATAGGACCAACAGGCCAGTTGGTCCAACCGGTCCATAGGACCAACAGGCCAGTTGGTCCAACGGTCCATAGGACCAACTGGCCAGTTGGTCCAACCGGTCCATAGGACCAACAGGCCAGTTGGTCCAACCGGTCCATAGGACCAACAGGCCAGTTGGTCCAACCGGTCCATAGGACCAACAGGCCAGTTGGTCCAACCGGTCCATAGGACCAACAGGCCAGTTGGTCCAACCGGTCCATAGGACCAACAGGCCAGTTGGTCCAACCGGTCCATAGGACCAACAGGCCAGTTGGTCCAACCGGTCCATAGGACCAACAGGCCAGTTGGTCCAACCGGTCCATAGGACCAACAGGCCAGTTGGTCCAACCGGTCCATAGGACCAACATGGCCAGTTGGTCCAACCGGTCCATAGGACCAACAGGCCAGTTGGTCCAACCGGTCCATAGGACCAACAGGCCAGTTGGTCCAACCGGTCCATAGGCCAACAGGCCAGTTGGTCCAACCGGTCCATAGGACCAACAGGCCAGTTGGTCCAACCGGTCCATAGGACCAACAGGCCAGTTGGTCCAACCGGTCCATAGGACCAACAGGCCAGTTGGTCCAACCGGTCCATAGGACCAACAGGCCAGTTGGTCCAACCGGTCCATAGGACCAACAGGCCAGTTGGTTCCAACCGGTCCATAGGACCAACAGGCCAGTTGGTCCAACCGGTCCATAGGACCAACAGGCCAGTTGGTCCAACCGGTCCATAGGACCAACAGGCCAGTTGGTCAACCGGTCCATAGGACCAACAGGCCAGTTGGTCCAACCGGTCCATAGGACCAACAGGCCAGTTGGTCCAACCGGTCCATAGGACCAACAGGCCAGTTGGTCCAACCGGTCCATAGGACCAACAGGCCAGTTGGTCCAACCGGTCCATAGGACCAACAGGCCAGTTGGTCCAACCGGTCCATAGGACCAACATGCCAGTTGGTCCAACCGGTCCATAGGACCAACAGGCCAGTTGGTCCAACCGGTCCATAGGACCAACATGCCAGTTGGTCCAACCGGTCCATTAGGACCAAACAGGCCAGTTGGTCCAACCGGTCCATAGGACCAACAGGCCAGTTGGTCCAACCGGTCCATAGGACCAACAGGCCAGTTGGTCCAACCGGTCCATAGGACCAACAGGCCAGTTGGTCCAACCGGTCCATAGGACCAACAGGCCAGTTGGTCCAACCGGTCCATAGGACCAACAGGCCAGTTGGTCCAACCGGTCCATAGGACCAACAGGCCAGTTGGTCCAACCGGTCCATAGGACCAACAGGCCAGTTGGTCCAACCGGTCCATAGGACCAACAGGCCAGTTGGTCCAACCGGTCCATAGGACCAACAGGCCAGTTGGTCCAACCGGTCCATTGGACCAACAGGCCAGTTGGTCCAACCGGTCCATAGGACCAACAGGCCAGTTGGTCCAACCGGTCCATAGGCCAACAGGCCAGTTGGTCCAACCGGTCCATTAGGCCAACAGGCCAGTTGGTCCAACCGGTCCATAGGACCAACAGGCCAGTTGGTCCAACCGGTCCATAGGACCAACAGGCCAGTTGGTCCAACCGGTCCATAGGACCAACAGGCCAGTTGGTCCAACCGGTCCATAGGACCAACAGGCCAGTTGGTCCAACCGGTCCATAGGACCAACAGGCCAGTTGGTCCTACCGGTCCATAGGACCAACAGGCCAGTTGGTCCAACCGGTCCATAGGACCAAGGCCAGTTGGTCCAACCGGTCCATAGGACCAACAGGCCAGTTGGTCCAACCGGTCCATAGGACCAACAGGCCAGTTGGTCCAACCGGTCCATAGGCCAACAGGCCAGTTGGTCCAACCGGTCCATTAGGCCAACAGGCCAGTTGGTCCAAACGGTCCATAGGACCAACAGGCCAGTTGGTCCAACCGGTCCCAGGACCAACAGGCCAGTTGGTCCAACCGGTCCATAGGACCAACAGGCCAGTTGGTCCAACCGGTCCATAGGACCAACAGGCCAGTTGGTCCAACCGGTCCAAAGGACCAACAGGCCAGTTGGTCCAACCGGTCCATAGGACCAACAGGCCAGTTGGTCCAACCGGTCCACAGGACCAACAGGCCAGTTGGTCCAACCGGTCCATAGGACCAACAGGCCAGTTGGTCCAACCGGTCCATAGGACCAACAGGCCAGTTGGTCCAACCGGTCCATAGGACCAACAGGCCAGTTGGTCCAACCGGTCCATTAGGACCAACAGGCCAGTTGGTCCAACCGGTCCATTAGGCCAACAGGCCAGTTGGTCCAACCGGTCCATAGGGCCAACAGGCCAGTTGGTTCCAACCGGTCCATAGGACCAACAGGCCAGTTGGTCCAAACGGTCCATAGGACCAACAGGCCAGTTGGTCCAACCGGTCCATAGGACCAACAGGCCAGTTGGTCCAACCGGTCCATAGGACCAACAGGCCAGTTGGTCCAACCGGTCCATAGGACCAACAGGCCAGTTGGTCCAACCGGTCCATGGACCAACAGGCCAGTTGGTCCAACCGGTCCATAGGACCAACAGGCCAGTTGGTCCAACCGGTCCATTCGGCCAACAGGCCAGTTGGTCCAACCGGTCCATAGGGCCAACAGGCCAGTTGGTCCAACCGGTCCATAGGACCAACAGGCCAGTTGGTCCAACCGGTCCATAGGACCAACAGGCCAGTTGGTCCAACCGGTCCATAGGACAACAGGCCAGTTGGTCCAACCGGTCCATAGGACCAACAGGCCAGTTGGTCCAACCGGTCCATAGGACCAACAGGCCAGTTGGTCCAACCGGTCCAAGGACCAACAGGCCAGTTGGTCCAACCGGTCCATAGGACCAACAGGCCAGTTGGTCCAACCGGTCCATAGGACCAACAGGCCAGTTGGTCCAACCGGTCCATAGGACCAACAGGCCAGTTGGTCCAACCGTCCATAGGACCAACAGGCCAGTTGGTCCAACCGGTCCATAGGACCAACAGGCCAGTTGGTCCAACCGGTCCATAGGACCAACAGGCCAGTTGGTCCAACCGGTCCATAGGACCAACAGGCCAGTTGGTCCAACCGGTCCATCCGGCCAACAGGCCAGTTGGTCCAACCGGTCCATAGGACCAACAGGCCAGTTGGTCCAACCGGTCATAGGACCAACAGGCCAGTTGGTCCAACCGGTCCATAGGACCAACAGGCCAGTTGGTCCAACCGGTCCATAGGACCAACAGGCCAGTTGGTCCAACCGGTCCATAGGACCAACAGGCCAGTTGGTCCAACCGGTCCATAGGACCAACAGGCCAGTTGGTCCAACCGGTCCATAGGACCAACAGGCCAGTTGGTCCAACCGGTCCATAGGACCAACAGGCCAGTTGGTCCAACCGGTCCATAGGACCAACAGGCCAGTTGGTCCAAACGGGTCCATAGGACCAACAGGCCAGTTGGTCCAACCGGTCCATAGGACCAACAGGCCAGTTGGTCCAACCGGTCCATAGGACCAACAGGCCAGTTGGTCCAACCGGTCCATAGGACCAACAGGCCAGTTGGTCCAACCGGTCCATAGGACCAACAGGCCAGTTGGTCCACCGGTCCATAGGACCAACAGGCCAGTTGGTCCAACCGGTCCATAGGACCAACAGGCCAGTTGGTCCAACCGGTCCATAGGACCAACAGGCCAGTTGGTCCAAACCGGTCCATAGGACCAACAGGCCAGTTGGTCCAACCGGTCCATAGGACCAACAGGCCAGTTGGTCCAACCGGTCCATAGGACCAACAGGCCAGTTGGTCCAACCGGTCCATAGGACCAACAGGCCAGTTGGTCCAACCGGTCCACAGGACCAACAGGCCAGTTGGTCCAACCGGTCCATAGGACCAACAGGCCAGTTGGTCCAACCGGTCCATAGGACCGACAGGCCAGTTGGTCCAACCGGTCCATTGGACCAACAGGCCAGTTGGTCCAACCGATCCATAGGACCAACAGGCCAGTTGGTCCAACCGGTCCATTCGGCCAACAGGCCAGTTGGTCCAAACGGTCCATAGGGCCAACAGGCCAGTTGGTCCAACCGGTCCATAGGACCAACAGGCCAGTTGGTCCAACCGGTCCAAAGGACAACAGGCCAGTTGGTCCAACCGGTCCATAGGACCAACAGGCCAGTTGGTCCAACCGGTCCATAGGACCAACAGGCCAGTTGGTCCAACCGGTCCATAGGACCAACAGGCCAGTTGGTCCAACCGGTCCATAGGACCAACAGGCCAGTTGGTCCAACCGGTCCATTCGGCCAACAGGCCAGTTGGTCCAACCGGTCCATAGGCCAACAGGCCAGTTGGTCCAACCGGTCCATAGGACCAACAGGCCAGTTGGTCCAACCGGTCCATAGGACCAACAGGCCAGTTGGTCCAACCGGTCCATAGGACCAACAGGCCAGTTGGTCCAACCGGTCCATAGGACCAACAGGCCAGTTGGTCCAACCGGTCCACAGGACCAACAGGCCAGTTGGTCCAACCGGTCCATAGGACCAACAGGCCAGTTGGTCCAACCGGTCCATAGGACCAACAGGCCAGTTGGTCCAACCGGTCCATAGGACCAACAGGCCAGTTGGTCCAACCGGTCCATAGGACCAACAGGCCAGTTGGTCCAACCGGTCCATAGGACCAACAGGCCAGTTGGTCCAACCGGTCCATAGGACCAACAGGCCAGTTGGTCCAACCGGTCCATAGGACCAACAGGCCAGTTGGTCCAACCGGTCCATAGGACCAACAGGCCAGTTGGTCCAACCGGTCCATAGGACCAACAGGCCAGTTGGTCCAACCGGTCCATAGGACCAACAGGCCAGTTGGTCCAACCGGTCCATAGGACCAACAGGCCAGTTGGTCCAACCGGTCCATAGGACCAACAGGCCAGTTGGTCCAACCGGTCCATAGGACCGAACAGGCCAGTTGGTCCAACCGGTCCATAGGACCAACAGGCCAGTTGGTCCAAACGGTCCATAGGACCAACAGGCCAGTTGGTCCAACCGGTCCATAGGACCAACAGGCCAGTTGGTCCAACCGGTCCATAGGACCAACAGGCCAGTTGGTCCAACCGGTCCATAGGACCAACAGGCCAGTTGGTCCAAACGGTCCATAGGACCAACAGGCCAGTTGGTCCAACCGGTCCATGGACCAACAGGCCAGTTGGTCCAACCGGTCCATAGGACCAACAGGCCAGTTGGTCCAACCGGTCCATCGGACCAACAGGCCAGTTGGTCCAACCGGTCCATAGGCCAACAGGCCAGTTGGTCCAACCGGTCCATAGGACCAACAGGCCAGTTGGTCCAACCGGTCCATAGGACCAACAGGCCAGTTGGTCCAACCGGTCCATAGGACCAACAGGCCAGTTGGTCCAACCGGTCCACAGGACCAACAGGCCAGTTGGTCCAACCGGTCCATAGGACCAACAGGCCAGTTGGTCCAACCGGTCCATTGGACCAACAGGCCAGTTGGTCCAACCGGTCCATAGGACCAACAGGCCAGTTGGTCCAACCGGTCCATTCGGCCAACAGGCCAGTTGGTCCAACCGGTCCATAGGACCAACAGGCCAGTTGGTCCAACCGGTCCATAGGACCAACAGGCCAGTTGGTCCAACCGGTCCATAGGACCAACAGGCCAGTTGGTCCAACCGGTCCACAGGACCAACAGGCCAGTTGGTCCAACCGGTCCAAAGGACCAACAGGCCAGTTGGTCCAACCGGTCCATAGGACCAACAGGCCAGTTGGTCCAACCGGTCCAAAGGACCAACAGGCCAGTTGGTCCAACCGGTCCATAGGACCAACAGGCCAGTTGGTCCAACCGGTCCATAGGACCAACAGGCCAGTTGGTCCAACCGGTCCATAGGACCAACAGGCCAGTTGGTCCAACCGGTCCATTCGGCCAACAGGCCAGTTGGTCCAACCGGTCCATAGGACCAACAGGCCAGTTGGTCCAACCGGTCCATAGGACCAACAGGCCAGTTGGTCCAACCGGTCCATAGGACCAACAGGCCAGTTGGTCCAACCGGTCCATAGGACCAACAGGCCAGTTGGTCCAACCGGTCCATAGGACCAACAGGCCAGTTGGTCCAACCGGTCCATAGGACCAACAGGCCAGTTGGTCCAACCGGTCCATAGGACCAACAGGCCAGTTGGTCCAACCGGTCCATAGGACCAACAGGCCAGTTGGTCCAACCGGTCCATAGGACCAACAGGCCAGTTGGTCCAACCGGTCCATAGGACGACTAGGCCAGTTGGTCAAACCGGTCCATAGGACCAACAGGCCAGTTGGTCCAACCGGTCCATAGGACCAACAGGCCAGTTGGTCCAACCGGTCCATAGGACCAACAGGCCAGTTGGTCCAACCGGTCCATAGGACCAACAGGCCAGTTGGTCCAACCGGTCCATAGGACCAACAGGCCAGTTGGTCCAACCGGTCCATAGGACCAACAGGCCAGTTGGTCCAACCGGTCCATAGGACCAACAGGCCAGTTGGTCCAACCGGTCCATAGGACCAACAGGCCAGTTGGTCCAACCGGTCCATAGGACCAACAGGCCAGTTGGTCCAACCGGTCCATAGGACCAACAGGCCAGTTGGTCCAACCGGTCCACAGGACCAACAGGCCAGTTGGTCCAACCGGTCCACAGGACCAACAGGCCAGTTGGTCCAACCGGTCCATAGGACCAACAGGCCAGTTGGTCCAACCGGTCCATAGGACCAACAGGCCAGTTGGTCCAACCGGTCCATAGGACCAACAGGCCAGTTGGTCCAACCGGTCCATAGGACCAACAGGCCAGTTGGTCCAACCGGTCCATAGGACCAACAGGCCAGTTGGTCCAACCGGTCCATAGGACCAACAGGCCAGTTGGTCCAACCGGTCCATAGGACCAACAGGCCAGTTGGTCCAACCGGTCCATAGGGACCAACAGGCCAGTTGGTCCAACCGGTCCATTGGACCAACAGGCCAGTTGGTCCAACCGGTCCATAGGACCAACAGGCCAGTTGGTCCAACCGGTCCATAGGACCAACAGGCCAGTTGGTCCAACCGGTCCATAGGACCAACAGGCCAGTTGGTCCAACCGGTCCATAGGACCAACAGGCCAGTTGGTCCAACCGGTCCATAGGACCAACAGGCCAGTTGGTCCAACCGGTCCATAGGACCAACAGGCCAGTTGGTCCAACCGGTCCATAGGACCAATGGCCAGTTGGTCCAACCGGTCCATAGGACCAACAGGCCAGTTGGTCCAACCGGTCCATAGGACCAACAGGCCAGTTGGTCCAACCGGTCCATAGGACCAACAGGCCAGTTGGTCCAACCGGTCCATAGGACCAACAGGCCAGTTGGTCCAACCGGTCCATAGGACCAACAGGCCAGTTGGTCCAACCGGTCCATAGGACCAACAGGCCAGTTGGTCCAACCGGTCCATAGGACCAACAGGCCAGTTGGTCCAACCGGTCCATAGGACCAACAGGCCAGTTGGTCCAACCGGTCCATAGGACCAACAGGCCAGTTGGTCCAACCGGTCCATAGGACCAACAGGCCAGTTGGTCCAACCGGTCCATAGGACCAACAGGCCAGTTGGTCCAACCGGTCCATAGGACCAACAGGCCAGTTGGTCCAACCGGTCCATAGGACCAACAGGCCAGTTGGTCCAACCGGTCCATAGGACCAACAGGCCAGTTGGTCCAACCGGTCCATAGGACCAACAGGCCAGTTGGTCCAACCGGTCCATAGGACCAACAGGCCAGTTGGTCCAACCGGTCCATAGGACCAACAGGCCAGTTGGTCCAACCGGTCCATTCGGACCAACAGGCCAGTTGGTCCAACCGGTCCATTAGGACCAACAGGCCAGTTGGTCCAACCGGTCCATAGGACCAACAGGCCAGTTGGTCCAACCGGTCCATAGGACCAACAGGCCAGTTGGTCCAACCGGTCCATAGGACCAACAGGCCAGTTGGTCCAACCGGTCCATAGGACCAACAGGCCAGTTGGTCCAACCGGTCCATAGGACCAACAGGCCAGTTGGTCCAACCGGTCCATAGGACCAACAGGCCAGTTGGTCCAACCGGTCCATAGGACCAACAGGCCAGTTGGTCCAACGGTCCATAGGACCAACAGGCCAGTTGGTCCAAACCGGTCCATGGACCAACAGGCCAGTTGGTCCAACCGGTCCATAGGACCAACAGGCCAGTTGGTCCAACCGGTCCATAGGCCAACAGGCCAGTTGGTCCAACCGGTCCATTCGGCCAACAGGCCAGTTGGTCCAACCGGTCCATAGGACCAACAGGCCAGTTGGTCCAACCGGTCCATAGGACCAACAGGCCAGTTGGTCCAACCGGTCCATACGGCCAACAGGCCAGTTGGTCCAACCGGTCCATAGGACCAACAGGCCAGTTGGTCCAACCGGTCCATAGGACCAACAGGCCAGTTGGTCCAACCGGTCCAAAGGACCAACAGGCCAGTTGGTCCAACGGTCCATAGGACCAACAGGCCAGTTGGTCCAACCGGTCCATAGGACCAACAGGCCAGTTGGTCCAACCGGTCCATAGGACCAAGGCCAGTTGGTCCAACCGGTCCATAGGACCAACAGGCCAGTTGGTCCAACCGTCCATAGGACCAACAGGCCAGTTGGTCCAACCGGTCCATCGGCCAACAGGCCAGTTGGTCCAACCGGTCCATAGGACCAACAGGCCAGTTGGTCCAACCGGTCCATAGGACCAACAGGCCAGTTGGTCCAACCGGTCCATAGGACCAACAGGCCAGTTGGTCCAACCGGTCCATAGGACCAACAGGCCAGTTGGTCCAACCGGTCCATAGGACCAACAGGCCAGTTGGTCCAACCGGTCCATAGGACCAACAGGCCAGTTGGTCCAACCGGTCCATAGGACCAACAGACCAGTTGGTCCAACCGGTCCACAGGACCAACAGGCCAGTTGGTCCAACCGGTCCATAGGACCAACAGGCCAGTTGGTCCAACCGGTCCATAGGACCAACAGGCCAGTTGGTCCAACCGGTCCATAGGACCAACAGGCCAGTTGGTCCAACCGGTCCATAGGACCAACAGGCCAGTTGGTCCAACCGGTCCATAGGACCAACAGGCCAGTTGGTCCAACCGGTCCATAGGACCAACAGGCCAGTTGGTCCAACCGGTCCACAGGACCAACAGGCCAGTTGGTCCAACCGGTCCACAGGACCAACAGGCCAGTTGGTCCAACCGGTCCATAGGACCAACAGGCCAGTTGGTCCAACCGGTCCATAGGACCAACAGGCCAGTTGGTCCAACCGGTCCATAGGACCAACAGGCCAGTTGGTCCAACCGGTCCATAGGACCAACAGGCCAGTTGGTCCAACCGGTCCATAGGACCAACAGGCCAGTTGGTCCAACCGGTCCATAGGACCAACAGGCCAGTTGGTCCAACCGGTCCATTCGGCCAACAGGCCAGTTGGTCCAACCGGTCCATAGGACCAACAGGCCAGTTGGTCCAACCGGTCCATAGGGCCAACAGGCCAGTTGGTCCAACCGGTCCATAGGACCAACAGGCCAGTTGGTCCAACCGGTCCATTCGGCCAACAGGCCAGTTGGTCCAACAACGGTCCATAGGACCAACATGGCCAGTTGGTCCAACCGGTCCATTCGGACCAAAAGGCCAGTTGGTCCAACGGTCCATAGGACCAACAGGCCAGTTGGTCCAACCGGTCCATAGGACCAACAGGCCAGTTGGTCCAACCGGTCCATAGGACCAACAGGCCAGTTGGTCCAACCGGTCCATAGGACCAACAGGCCAGTTGGTCCAACCGGTCCACAGGACCAACAGGCCAGTTGGTCCAACCGGTCCATAGGACCAACAGGCCAGTTGGTCCAACCGGTCCATAGGACCAACAGGCCAGTTGGTCCAACCGGTCCACAGGACCAACAGGCCAGTTGGTCCAACCGGTCCATAGGACCAACAGGCCAGTTGGTCCAACCGGTCCATAGGACCGACAGGCCAGTTGGTCCAACCGGTCCATAGGACCAACATGCCAGTTGGTCCAACCGGTCCATAGGCCAAAAGGCCAGTTGGTCCAACCGGTCCATAGGACCAACAGGCCAGTTGGTCCAACCGGTCCATAGGACCAACAGGCCAGTTGGTCCAACCGGTCCATAGGACCAACAGGCCAGTTGGTCCAACCGGTCCATAGGACCAACAGGCCAGTTGGTCCAACCGGTCCACAGGACCAACAGGCCAGTTGGTCCAACCGGTCCATAGGACCAACAGGCCAGTTGGTCCAACCGGTCCATAGGACCAACAGGCCAGTTGGTCCAACCGGTCCATAGGACCAACAGGCCAGTTGGTCCAACCGGTCCATAGGACCAACAGGCCAGTTGGTCCAACCGGTCCATAGGACAACAGGCCAGTTGGTCCAACCGGTCCATAGGACCAACAGGCCAGTTGGTCCAACCGGTCCATAGGACCAAAGGCCAGTTGGTCCAACCGGTCCATAGGCCAACAGGCCAGTTGGTCCAACCGGTCCATAGGACCAACAGGCCAGTTGGTCCAACCGGTCCATAGGACCAACAGGCCAGTTGGTCCAACCGGTCCATAGGACCAACAGGCCAGTTGGTCCAACCGGTCCATAGGACCAACAGGCCAGTTGGTCCAACCGGTCCATAGGACCAACAGGCCAGTTGGTCCAACCGGTCCATAGGACCAACAGGCCAGTTGGTCCAACCGGTCCATAGGACCAACAGGCCAGTTGGTCCAACCGGTCCATAGGACCAACAGGCCAGTTGGTCCAACCGGTCCATAGGACCAACAGGCCAGTTGGTCCAACCGGTCCAAAGGACCAACAGGCCAGTTGGTCCAACCGGTCCATAGGACCAACAGGCCAGTTGGTCCAACCGGTCCATAGGACCAACAGGCCAGTTGGTCCAACCGGTCCATAGGACCAACAGGCCAGTTGGTCCAACCGGTCCATAGGACCAACAGGCCAGTTGGTCCAACCGGTCCATAGGACCAACAGGCCAGTTGGTCCAACCGGTCCATTGGACCAACAGGCCAGTTGGTCCAACCGGTCCATAGGACCAACAGGCCAGTTGGTCCAACCGGTCCATAGGCCAACAGGCCAGTTGGTCCAACCGGTCCATAGGACCAACAGGCCAGTTGGTCCAACCGGTCCACAGGACCAACAGGCCAGTTGGTCCAACCGGTCCAAAGGACCAACAGGCCAGTTGGTCCAACCGGTCCACAGGACCAACAGGCCAGTTGGTCCAACCGGTCCACAGGACCAACAGGCCAGTTGGTCCAACCGGTCCATAGGACCAACAGGCCAGTTGGTCCAACCGGTCCATGGACCAACAGGCCAGTTGGTCCAACCGGTCCATAGGACCAACAGGCCAGTTGGTCCAACCGGTCCATCGACCAACAGGCCAGTTGGTCCAACCGGTCCATAGGCCAACAGGCCAGTTGGTCCAACCGGTCCATAGGACCAACAGGCCAGTTGGTCCAACCGGTCCATAGGACCAACAGGCCAGTTGGTCCAACCGGTCCATAGGACCAACAGGCCAGTTGGTCCAAACCGGTCCATAGGACCAACAGGCCAGTTGGTCCAACCGGTCCACAGGACCAACAGGCCAGTTGGTCCAACCGGTCCATAGGACCAACAGGCCAGTTGGTCCAACCGGTCCATAGGACCAACAGGCCAGTTGGTCCAACCGGTCCATAGGACCAACAGGCCAGTTGGTCCAACCGGTCCATAGGACCAACAGGCCAGTTGGTCCAACCGGTCCATAGGACCAACAGGCCAGTTGGTCCAACCGGTCCATAGGACCAACAGGCCAGTTGGTCCAACCGGTCCATAGGACCAACAGGCCAGTTGGTCCAACCGGTCCATAGGACCAACAGGCCAGTTGGTCCAACCGGTCCACAGGACCAACAGGCCAGTTGGTCCAACCGGTCCATAGGACCAACAGGCCAGTTGGTCCAACCGGTCCATAGGACCAACAGGCCAGTTGGTCCAACCGGTCCATAGGACCGACTGGCCAGTTGGTCCAACCGGTCCATAGGACCAACAGGCCAGTTGGTCCAACCGGTCCATAGGACCAACAGGCCAGTTGGTCCAACCGGTCCATAGGAACAACACGCCAGTTGGTCCAACCGGTCCATAGGACCAACAGGCCAGTTGCTCCAACCGGTCCATAGGACCAACAGGCCAGTTGGTCCAACCGGTCCATAGGACCAACAGGCCAGTTGGTCCAACCGGTCCACAGGACCAACAGGCCAGTTGGTCCAACCGGTCCACAGGACCAACAGGCCAGTTGGTCCAACCGGTCCATAGGACCAACAGGCCAGTTGGTCCAACCGGCGGTCCACAGGACCAACAGGCCAGTTGGTCCAACCGGTCCATAGGACCAACAGGCCAGTTGGTCCAACCGGTCCATAGGACCAACAGGCCAGTTGGTCCAACCGGTCCATAGGACCAACAGGCCAGTTGGTCCAACCGGTCCATAGGACCAACAGGCCAGTTGGTCCAACCGGTCCATAGGACCAACAGGCCAGTTGGTCCAACCGGTCCACAGGACCAACAGGCCAGTTGGTCCAACCGGTCCACAGGACCAACAGGCCAGTTGGTCCAACCGGTCCATAGGACCAACAGGCCAGTTGGTCCAACCGGTCCATAGGACCAACAGGCCAGTTGGTCCAACCGGTCCATAGGACCAACAGGCCAGTTGGTCCAACCGGTCCATAGGACCAACAGGCCAGTTGGTCCAACCGGTCCATAGGACCAACAGGCCAGTTGGTCCAACCGGTCCATAGGACCAACAGGCCAGTTGGTCCAACCGGTCCATAGGACCAACAGGCCAGTTGGTCCAACCGGTCCATTAGGCCAACAGGCCAGTTGGTCCAACCGGTCCATAGGACCAACAGGCCAGTTGGTCCAACCGGTCCATTCGGACCAACAGGCCAGTTGGTCCAACCGGTCCATAGGACCAACAGGCCAGTTGGTCCAACCGGTCCATAGGACCAACAGGCCAGTTGGTCCAACCGGTCCATAGGACCAACAGGCCAGTTGGTCCAACCGGTCCATAGGACCAACAGGCCAGTTGGTCCAACCGGTCCATAGGACCAACAGGCCAGTTGGTCCAACCGGTCCATAGGACCAACAGGCCAGTTGGTCCAACCGGTCCATTAGGACCAACAGGCCAGTTGGTCCAACCGGTCCATAGGACCAACAGGCCAGTTGGTCCAACCGGTCCATTAGGACCAACAGGCCAGTTGGTCCAACCGGTCCATAGGACCAACAGGCCAGTTGGTCCAACCGTCCATAGGACCAACATGCCAGTTGGTCCAACCGGTCCATAGGACCAACAGGCCAGTTGGTCCAACCGGTCCATAGGACCAACAGGCCAGTTGGTCCAACCGGTCCATAGGACCAACAGGCCAGTTGGTCCAACCGGTCCATAGGACCAACAGGCCAGTTGGTCCAACCGGTCCATAGGACCAACAGGCCAGTTGGTCCAACCGGTCCATAGGACCAACAGGCCAGTTGGTCCAACCGGTCCATAGGACCAACAGGCCAGTTGGTCCAACCGGTCCATAGGACCAACAGGCCAGTTGGTCCAACCGGTCCATAGGACCAACAGGCCAGTTGGTCCAACCGGTCCATAGGACCAACAGGCCAGTTGGTCCAACCGGTCCATAGGACCAACAGGCCAGTTGGTCCAACCGGTCCATAGGACCAACAGGCCAGTTGGTCCAACCGGTCCATAGGACCAACAGGCCAGTTGGTCCAACCGGTCCATAGGACCAACAGGCCAGTTGGTCCAACCGGTCCATAGGCCAACAGGCCAGTTGGTCCAACGGTCCATAGGACCAACAGGCCAGTTGGTCCAACCGGTCCATAGGACCAACAGGCCAGTTGGTCCAACCGGTCCATAGGACCAACAGGCCAGTTGGTCCAACCGGTCCATAGGACCAACAGGCCAGTTGGTCCAACCGGTCCATAGGACCAACAGGCCAGTTGGTCCAACCGGTCCATAGGCCAACAGGCCAGTTGGTCCAACCGGTCCATTAGGCCAACAGGCCAGTTGGTCCAACCGGTCCATAGGACCAACAGGCCAGTTGGTCCAACCGGTCCATAGGGCCAACAGGCCAGTTGGTCCAACCGGTCCATCGGCCAACAGGCCAGTTGGTCCAACCGGTCCATAGGACCAACAGGCCAGTTGGTCCAACCGGTCCATAGGCCGACCACAGGCCAGTTGGTCCAACCGGTCCATAGGGACCAACAGGCCAGTTGGTCCAACCGGTCCATAGGACCAACATGCCAGTTGGTCCAACCGGTCCATAGGACCAGCAGGCCAGTTGGTCCAACCGGTCCATAGGACCAACAGGCAGTTGGTCCAACCGGTCCATAGGGCCAACAGGCCAGTTGGTCCAACCGGTCCATAGGGCCAACAGGCCAGTTGGTCCAACCGGTCCATAGGACCAACATGCCAGTTGGTCCAACCGGTCCATAGGACCAACAGGCCAGTTGGTCCAACCGGTCCATAGGACCAACAGGCCAGTTGGTCCAACCGGTCCATAGGACCAACAGGCCAGTTGGTCCAACCGGTCCATAGGACCAACAGGCAAGTTGGTCCAACCGGTCCATAGGACCAACAGGCCAGTTGGTCCAACCGGTCCATAGGACCAACAGGCCAGTTGGTCCAACCGGTCCATAGGACCAACAGGCCAGTTGGTCCAACCGGTCCATAGGACCAACAGGCCAGTTGGTCCAACCGGTCCATAGGACCAACATGCCAGTTGGTCCAACCGGTCCATAGGACCAACAGGCCAGTTGGTCCAACCGGTCCATAGGACCAACAGGCCAGTTGGTCCAACCGGTCCATAGGACCAACAGGCCAGTTGGTCCAACCGGTCCATAGGACCAACAGGCCAGTTGGTCCAACCGGTCCATTTGGCCAACAGGCCAGTTGGTCCAACCGGTCCATAGGACCAACAGGCCAGTTGGTCCAACCGGTCCATAGGACCAACAGGCCAGTTGGTCCAACCGGTCCATAGGACCAACAGGCCAGTTGGTCCAACCGGTCCATAGGACCAACAGGCCAGTTGGTCCAACCGGTCCACAGGACCAACAGGCCAGTTGGTCCAACCGGTCCATAGGACCAACAGGCCAGTTGGTCCAACCGGTCCATAGGACCAACAGGCCAGTTGGTCCAACCGGTCCAGGACCAACAGGCCAGTTGTCCAACCGGTCCATAGGACCAACAGGCCAGTTGGTCCAACCGGTCCATAGGACCAACAGGCCAGTTGGTCCAACCGGTCCACAGGACCAACAGGCCAGTTGGTCCAACCGGTCCATAGGACCAACAGGCCAGTTGGTCCAACCGGTCCACAGGACCAACAGGCCAGTTGGTCCAACCGGTCCACAGGACCAACAGGCCAGTTGGTCCAACCGGTCCACAGGACCAACAGGCCAGTTGGTCCAACCGGTCCATAGGACCAACAGGCCAGTTGGTCCAACCGGTCCATAGGACCAACAGGCCAGTTGGTCCAACCGGTCCATAGGACCAACAGGCCAGTTGGTCCAACCGGTCCATAGGACCAACAGGCCAGTTGGTCCAACCGGTCCATAGGACCAACAGGCCAGTTGGTCCAAACCGGTCCATAGGACCAACAAGCCAGTTGGTCCAACCGGTCCATAGGACCAACAGGCCAGTTGGTCCAACCGGTCCATTCGGCCAACAGGCCAGTTGGTCCAACCGGTCCATAGGGCCAACAGGCCAGTTGGTCCAACCGGTCCATAGGACCAACATGCCAGTTGGTCCAACCGGTCCATTCGGTCAACAGGCCAGTTGGTCCAACCGGTCCATAGGACCAACATGCCAGTTGGTCCAAACCGGTCCATTCGGACCAAAGGCCAGTTGGTCCAACCGGTCCATAGGACCAACAGGCCAGTTGGTCCAACCGGTCCATAGGACCAACAGGCCAGTTGGTCCAACCGGTCCATAGGACCAACAGGCCAGTTGGTCCAACCGGTCCATAGGACCAACAGGCCAGTTGGTCCAACCGGTCCATAGGACCAACAGGCCAGTTGGTCCAACCGGTCCATAGGACCAACAGGCCAGTTGGTCCAACCGGTCCATAGGACCAACATGCCAGTTGGTCCAACCGGTCCATAGGACCAACAGGCCAGTTGGTCCAACCGGTCCATAGGACCAACAGGCCAGTTGGTCCAACCGGTCCATAGGACCAACAGGCCAGTTGGTCCAACCGGTCCATAGGACCAACATGCCAGTTGGTCCAACCGGTCCATAGGACCAACAGGCCAGTTGGTCCAATAGGTCCATAGGACCAACATGCTAGTTGGTCCAACCGGTCCATAGGACCAACAGGCCAGTTGGTCAACCGGTCCATAGGACCAACAGGCCAGTTGGTCCAATCGGTCCATAGGACCAACATGCCAGTTGGTCCAACCGGTCCATAGGACCAACAGGCCAGTTGGTCCAACCGGTCCATAGGACCAACAGGCCAGTTGGTCCAACCGGTCCATTTGGCCAACAGGCCAGTTGGTCCAACCGGTCCATAGGACCAACAGGCCAGTTGGTCCAACCGGTCCATAGCACCAACATGCCAGTTGGTCCACTCGGTCCATAGGACCAACAGGCCAGTTGGTCCAACCGGTCCATAGGACCAACAGGCCAGTTGGTCCAACCGGTCCATAGGACCAACAGGCCAGTTGGTCCAACCGGTCCATAGGACCAACAGGCCAGTTGGTCCAACCGGTCCATAGGACCAACAGGCCAGTTGGTCCAACCGGTCCATAGGACCAAAATGCCAGTTGGTCCAACCGGTCCATAGGACCAACATGCCAGTTGGTCCAACCGGTCCATAGGACCAACAGGCCAGTTGGTCCAACCGGTCCATAGGACCAACAAGCCAGTTGGTCCAACCGGTCCATTCGGCCAACAGGCCAGTTGGTCCAACCGGTCCATTCGGCCAACAGGCCAGTTGGTCCAACCGGTCCATAGGACCAACAGGCCAGTTGGTCCAACCGGTCCATAGGACCAACAGGCCAGTTGGTCCAACCGGTCCATAGGACCAACAGGCCAGTTGGTCCAACCGGTCCATAGGACCAACAGGCCAGTTGGTCCAACCGGTCCATAGGACCAACAGGCCAGTTGGTCCAACCGGTCCATAGGACCAACAGGCCAGTTGGTCCAACCGGTCCATAGGACCAACAGGCCAGTTGGTCCAAACCGGTCCATAGGACCAACAGGCCAGTTGGTCCAACCGGTCCATTTGGCCAACAGGCCAGTTGGTCCAACCGGTCCATAGGACCAACAGGCCAGTTGGTCCAACCGGTCCATAGGACCAACAGGCCAGTTGGTCCAACCGGTCCATAGGACCAACAGGCCAGTTGGTCCAACCGGTCCATAGGACCAACAGGCCAGTTGGTCCAACCGGTCCATAGTACGACCGACAAGGCCAGTTGGTCCAACCGGTCCATTCGGACCAACAGGCCAGTTGGTCCAACCGGTCCATAGGACCAACAGGCCAGTTGGTCCAACCGGTCCATAGGACCAACAGGCCAGTTGGTCCAACCGGTCCATAGGACCAACAGGCCAGTTGGTCCAACCGGTCCATTCGGCCAACAGGCCAGTTGGTCAAACGGATCCATAGGACCAACAGGCCAGTTGGTCCAACCGGTCCATTAGGCCGACAAGCCAGTTGGTCCAACCGGTCCATAGGGCCAACAGGCCAGTTGGTCCAACCGGTCCATAGGACCAACAGGCCAGTTGGTCCAACCGGTCCATTCGGCCAACAGGCCAGTTGGTCCAACCGGTCCATAGGACCAACAGGCCAGTTGGTCCAACCGGTCCATTCGGCCAACAGGCCAGTTGGTCCAACCGGTCCATAGGGCCAACAGGCCAGTTGGTCCAACCGATCCATAGGACCAACATGCCAGTTGGTCCAACCGGTCCATAGGACCAACAGGCCAGTTGGTCCAACCGGTCCATAGGACCAACAGGCCAGTTGGTCCAACCGGTCCATAGGACCAACAGGCCAGTTGGTCCAACCGGTCCATAGGACCAACAGGCCAGTTGGTCCAACCGGTCCATAGGACCAACAGGCCAGTTGGTCCAACCGGTCCATAGGACCAACAGGCCAGTTGGTCCAACCGTCCATAGGACCAACAGGCCAGTTGGTCCAACCGGTCCATAGGACCAACAGGCCAGTTGGTCCAACCGGTCCATAGGACCAACAGGCCAGTTGGTCCAACCGGTCCATAGGACCAACAGGCCAGTTGGTCCAACCGGTCCATAGGACCAACAGGCCAGTTGGTCCAACCGGTCCATAGGACCAACATGCCAGTTGGTCCAACCGGTCCATAGGACCAACAGGCCAGTTGGTCCAACCGGTCCATAGGACCAACAGGCCAGTTGGTCCAACCGGTCCATTTGGCCAACAGGCCAGTTGGTCCAACCGGTCCATAGGACCAACAGGCCAGTTGGTCCAACCGGTCCATAGGACCAACAGGCCAGTTGGTCCAACCGGTCCATAGGACCAACAGGCCAGTTGGTCCAACCGGTCCATAGGACCAACAGGCCAGTTGGTCCAACCGGTCCATAGGACCAACAGGCCAGTTGGTCCAACCGGTCCATAGGACCAACAGGCCAGTTGGTCCAACCGGTCCATAGGACCAACAGGCCAGTTGGTCCAACCGGTCCATAGGACCAACAGGCCAGTTGGTCCAACCGGTCCATAGGACCAACAGGCCAGTTGGTCCAACCGGTCCACAGGACCAACAGGCCAGTTGGTCCAACCGGTCCATAGGACCAACAGGCCAGTTGGTCCAACCGGTCCATAGGACCAACAGGCCAGTTGGTCCAACGGTCCATAGGACCAACAGGCCAGTTGGTCCACCGGTCCATAGGACCAACAGGCCAGTTGGTCCAACCGGTCCACAGGACCAACAGGCCAGTTGGTCCAACCGGTCCACAGGACCAACAGGCCAGTTGGTCCAACCGGTCCACAGGACCCACAGGCCAGTTGGTCCAACCGGTCCATAGGACCAACAGGCCAGTTGGTCCAACCGGTCCATAGGACCAGAGGCCAGTTGGTCCAACCGGTCCATAGGACCAACAGGCCAGTTGGTCCAACCGGTCCATAGGACCAACAGGCCAGTTGGTCCAACCGGTCCATAGGACCAACAGGCCAGTTGGTCCAACCGGTCCATCGGACCAACAGGCCAGTTGGTCCAACCGGTCCATAGGGCCAACAGGCCAGTTGGTCCAACCGGTCCATAGGACCAACAGGCCAGTTGGTCCAACCGGTCCATTCGGACGACAGGCCAGTTGGTTCAACCGGTCCATAGGACCAACATGCCAGTTGGTCCAACCGGTCCATTCGGCCAAAAGGCCAGTTGGTCCAACCGGTCCATAGGACCAACAGGCCAGTTGGTCCAACCGGTCCATAGGACCAACAGGCCAGTTGGTCCAACCGGTCCATAGGACCAACAGGCCAGTTGGTCCAACCGGTCCATAGGACCAACAGGCCAGTTGGTCCAACCGGTCCATAGGACCAACAGGCCAGTTGGTCCAACCGGTCCATAGGACCAACAGGCCAGTTGGTCCAACCGGTCCATAGGACCAACAGGCCAGTTGGTCCAACCGGTCCATAGGACCAACAGGCCAGTTGGTCCAACCGGTCCATAGGACCAACAGGCCAGTTGGTCCAACCGGTCCATAGGACCAACAGGCCAGTTGGTCCAACCGGTCCATAGGACCAACAGGCCAGTTGGTCCAACCGGTCCATAGGACCAACAGGCCAGTTGGTCCACCCGGTCCATAGGACCAACAGGCCAGTTGGTCCAACCGGTCCATAGGACCAACAGGCCAGTTGGTCCAACCGGTCCATAGGACCAACAGGCCAGTTGGTCCAACCGGTCCATAGGACCAACAGGCCAGTTGGTCCAACCGGTCCATAGGACCAACAGGCCAGTTGGTCCAACCGGTCCATAGGACCAACAGGCCAGTTGGTCCAACCGGTCCATTGGCCAACAGGCCAGTTGGTCCAACCGGTCCATAGGACCAACAGGCCAGTTGGTCCAACCGGTCCATAGGACCAACAGGCCAGTTGGTCCAACCGGTCCATAGGACCAACAGGCCAGTTGGTCCAACCGGTCCATAGGACCAACAGGCCAGTTGGTCCAACGGTCCATAGGACCAACAGGCCAGTTGGTCCAACCGGTCCATAGGACCAACAGGCCAGTTGGTCCAACCGGTCCATAGGACCAAAAGGCCAGTTGGTTCAACCGGTCCATAGGACCAAAATGCCAGTTGGTCCAACCGGTCCATAGGACCAACAGGCCAGTTGGTCCAACCGGTCCATAGGACCAACAGGCCAGTTGGTCCAACCGGTCCATAGGACCAACAGGCCAGTTGGTCCAACCGGTCCATTCGGCCAACAGGCCAGTTGGTCCAACCGGTCCATTCGGCCAACAGGCCAGTGGGTCCAACCGGTCCATAGGACCAACAGGCCAGTTGGTCCAACCGGTCCATAGGACCAACAGGCCAGTTGGTCCAACCGGTCCATAGGACCAACAGGCCAGTTGGTCCAACCGGTCCATAGGACCAACAGGCCAGTTGGTCCAACCGGTCCATAGGACCAACAGGCCAGTTGGTCCAACCGGTCCATAGGACCAACAGGCCAGTTGGTCCAACTGGTCCATAGGACCAACAGGCCAGTTGGTCCAACCGGTCCATAGGACCAACAGGCCAGTTGGTCCAACCGGTCCATAGGACCAACAGGCCAGTTGGTCCAACCGGTCCATAGGACCAACAGGCCAGTTGGTCCAACCGGTCCATAGGACCAACAGGCCAGTTGGTCCAACCGGTCCATAGGACCAACAGGCCAGTTGGTCCAACCGGTCCATAGGACCAACAGGCCAGTTGCTCCAACCGGTCCATAGGACCAACAGGCCAGTTGGTCCAACCGGTCCATAGGACCAACAGGCCAGTTGGTCCAACCGGTCCATAGGACCAACAGGCCAGTTGGTCCAACCGGTCCACAGGACCAACAGGCCAGTTGGTCCAACCGGTCCACAGGACCAACAGGCCAGTTGGTCCAACCGGTCCACAGGACCAACAGGCCAGTTGGTCCAACCGGTCCATAGGACCAACAGGCCAGTTGGTCCAACCGGTCCATAGGACCAACAGGCCAGTTGGTCCAACCGGTCCACAGGACCAACAGGCCAGTTGGTCCAACCGGTCCATAGGACCAACAGGCCAGTTGGTCCAACCGGTCCACAGGACCAACAGGCCAGTTGGTCCAACCGGTCCACAGGACCAACAGGCCAGTTGGTCCAACCGGTCCATAGGACCAACAGGCCAGTTGGTCCAACCGGTCCACAGGACCAACAGGCCAGTTGGTCCAACCGGTCCACAGGACCAACAGGCCAGTTGGTCCAACCGGTCCATAGGACCAACAGGCCAGTTGGTCCAACCGGTCCACAGGACCAACAGGCCAGTTGGTCCAACCGGTCCATAGGACCAACAGGCCAGTTGGTCCAACCGGTCCATAGGACCAACAGGCCAGTTGGTCCAACCGGTCCATCGGCCAACAGGCCAGTTGGTCCAACCGGTCCATAGGACCAACAGGCCAGTTGGTCCAACCGGTCCATAGGACCAACAGGCCAGTTGGTCCAACCGGTCCATCGGCCAACAGGCCAGTTGGTCCAACCGGTCCATAGGACCAACAGGCCAGTTGGTCCAACCGGTCCATCGGACCAACAGGCCAGTTGGTCCAACCGTCCATAGGACCAACAGGCCAGTTGGTCCAACCGGTCCATAGGACCAACAGGCCAGTTGGTCCAACCGGTCCATAGGACCAACAGGCCAGTTGGTCCAACCGGTCCATAGGACCAACAGGCCAGTTGGTCCAACCGGTCCATAGGACCAACAGGCCAGTTGGTCCAACCGGTCCATAGGACCAACAGGCCAGTTGGTCCAACCGGTCCATAGGACCAACAGGCCAGTTGGTCCAACCGGTCCATAGGACCAACAGGCCAGTTGGTCCAACCGGTCCACCCATAGGACCAACAGGCCAGTTGGTCCAACCGGTCCATAGGACCAACAGGCCAGTTGGTCCAACCGGTCCATAGGACCAACATGCCAGTTGGTCCAACCGGTCCATAGGACCAACAGGCCAGTTGGTCCAACCGGTCCATAGGACCAACAGGCCAGTTGGTCCAACCGGTCCATAGGACCAACAGGCCAGTTGGTCCAACCGGTCCATAGGACCAACAGGCCAGTTGGTCCAACCGGTCCATAGGACCAACAGGCCAGTTGGTCCAACCGGTCCATAGGACCAACAGGCCAGTTGGTCCAACCGGTCCATAGGACCAACAGGCCAGTTGGTCCAACCGGTCCATTGGACCAACAGGCCAGTTGGTCCAACCGGTCCATAGGACCAACAGGCCAGTTGGTCCAACCGGTCCATAGGACCAACAGGCCAGTTGGTCCAACCGGTCCATAGGACCAACAGGCCAGTGGTCCACCGGTCCATAGGACCAAC